CAGCTTGCAAGTGTGGCTCAAGGCTTTGTCTCTGCTGTACTTGGCTTATTTGGTAAAGGACCGAAACCAAAGCCTTTGGGTCAAGTTGTTAGAGAGCAGATAGATGAGGCTCTGGAGCAATATCGCGAGAAGGAACTCGTAAGAAGAAAAGATGGTTTGCTATCAGCATTTCAGCTCACTAAAGCGTACTTAGACGGAGCTTCAGAGTCGGGTAAACCTTTAAGTACAGAGGAAGTGCCTGTGGCAACAAATGAAATGGAAAGATCTCAAGGTGTGGCGTTTATGGGAGAACTTGCCAGTGAAGTACGTAAGATGTTCAGCAATAACAAAGTAGCTGATGCAAGAAAAGCCATTAGATATTGTGAGATGTACGCACAGCTAGCGGTATACCGTGACATCATCCTGACACAGTATATTGCCATGATACCGACCACTGCAACTTGGCAAAATCACATCAACGGTGTAATATCCGATCGAGCTTTGTTTAGAAGATTGGCTGGAGCGTTACTCGGCAAGCTCTACGCGGTCGACTATGATAGCGCGATCATTCCATATTTTGATCCAGATATCAGCGTCATAACGGACACTTTCTCCACAAAGATATTGAATTTGGGTAAATACGATCGTTCCATGGCTGGTCTGCATTGCCTTATGACCCCAGGGAGAAGTGGTCTAGAATATCTGGATTGGGAAAGAGATGATGCGAAGTTCAAAACTGGTGGCAATCCTTACACAACAATTGTGAGACCGAACAATAATATTTGTTATTGGAAACTAGTGCCACATGCAGGTCACACGTACAGCATTGTAAATAAATACAAATGCAACACCAAGTACGACTACTGTGGCTCGATGCTTTCATGGACAACAGTTGGTGACAAGGCCTATGTGGACATCGCCTCGGATGACCCCGTCTTGTGGGAAATTAGGGGATATGACTGGAAAGAGTAAGTTATGCTATTCTCTAGCTACTCTCGAGGTACTCCTTGATCTTCTGTGACAAGATCTAGTTAATCGGAGWGCTTGCGATAATGAATACTTTTTGAACAATCCAATAAGCTAGATGGTTTTCGTCACCAAGTGTAATGCAAATAGACCTTGCGATTTTCCAGGGTTTGGGAGCAACTTGAACTTTTGATATTACATCGCATCGGATTGAAYATATATGCGTCCTTCAACATGAAGCAAATATTTATTTTTGCTAATTGTCCCKTTTTTTTCTATTTCAAAGTATTCGAAGTAAATGGGGCTGCGGCAAGAAGAAAAGTAAATGGTGCAACTATCATCTAGGAGTTAAAAAAAGAACAATTTCCACCACTTTCGTTGGTTTCCAACTTCACTCGTTTAAACGTACATCAAATAAAATAGTTGGACAGCTGACTCGTTCAGATGGCAAATACTACTGGAAGACTAGAAGGGTAGGAATCTTGTATATTAAAATGTTACGCGTGTGATGTGCCGCCTACTCATTGACCATATGAAAAACGAGCAGAAGTCTGTGAATGTCTCAATACTGATTTTCACTCAAACCTTTGCAATTTAAAACATCTGCAATCTCTGCTTCTTAAATCTAAAAGCACTGAAACTTTCAGATCTCACTCATTATAATGCGTTCTTTCAACGGGTAGTAATGATATATTATACAAACTATACACTCAGGCGTTACGATAGCCACGCCCTTTTTCGTATGGTCTATGAGAATTGTTACTATTAAGTTCCGCGCAAATGCAGTTACAAAAATGCAAATTCTAAACTAAATTGGTTTCATCGAAGAAGGGGCTTTCCTAGTCATATGAATCGATAAACTTCACTTTAAAATCGATACTACAACCACCAACAATGTATTTAAATTGAACTACATTTTTTT